GTGGCCACCTAAGCCCCGCCTTAAGAGCATCCCAGAAACAGGTTATCTCTCCATCCCGAGCATCCAACACCGTTTCGTTGGGCCCAGGGGTTCTCACATCACAAGCAGGCATGACCCCGAACTCCCTCGCGATTTTAATGACCACGTGTTCCTTGTACATGGTCGGTATCCTAGGGTATGTCATTATGGTCTCGACCCCGGGGTGCGAGTCGATGGGCACTGCCATTGGTATCAGAGATGTGGCCTCGGGGTCGGGGTCTCTAGCGTTTGAACTCCTAGACGTTTGGCTACTACTACTACCCCCACTCGATCCCTCACTACTGCTACTTGACATTATAAATAAAATTAACTTAAGGGCTCGAACGCTTACCTCTCCAAAGATCGACGCTCAACAAACACTATACGCCCTCGAACTCGAACTGCCGGAAGTTGAGAGTAAAAAGTTAAAAGTGAAAATGGAAGGTGAAAATGACGGGTATTTATAGGGGTCAAGGGGAAGATGAAAAGTCCCCTCATCCTGACCCTTCATGAATGCCACGTGTCACCCATCAACGGACAAGTCCTCTAACTTACACGTGGCTGACACGTGGCGGCCCAGCTGTCACTCTCCAAGGCCCATCAGGTCTGGCCCAAATCCACTCCTACCTCGATGCATCTGGGCTCGGTTCCAAGAATCAGAACAGCCAAGGCCCAACTGCGCGGGGGCCGATGATGTCTCATACACCCAGGTACGAATTTTGGTAGCATCATAAATCAATCAAACACATTTAATTAAAATTTCTATACAAATAAGTTATAGACAATTGAGTTATTTATAATTTATTTTCTTTCCATACAAATTCCTTACTCACGATGAGACGCACCCTAAGAGTTCCATGGTTCGATATCAAGTGTTTCGTTACATTATTAAGTAGAAGCTTTGATGCATGCCTTTACTATGGCTTGCAATTAGATATACCGGATGACTTTGATCGTGTTTAGCAATTGATTGCACAAAGATTATCACAAGCTAATTTCAAAGCAAGTAGGGTCTTTTGATTCGAATTTAGCCTTGTTTGATTCAGTTAAGTACATAGATTAAAATTTAAATAAAGTCAATAATTAATTTTTAACCACATATTTTATGAAATTTACAATTTTTTAACTATACATTTCATCCAATTTTATCAAAATCTACTAATAATCTCATATTAATCCACACCAACCCGGGGGCTTAATATCACTATTTAAAACTCCATTTTCTCATAACAAGACGGGGCCTCGGTGTCATCCATCAAGATTCATTAATTTAAAAACTGGAACAAGCTCAAATTCTTGAATAAATTTTGAAATTATTCCAAGCTAGGAACATATGGATGCTCTAAATTCTACATCTTCTGCCACAGCATGCAAAGTTTGAGGAGATAGACAAGCCTCAATGTCCACACTACCTTCTTCCACCCCAGCAGAAATAGTTATCTTTCCATCAAACCTATTCCCTTTTCCACTCCTCACCGCAACAGGTTTTCCCCACCCAAAATCATTGCCATAAACGTCAAACCGAGGCGAATTTATCAGAACAAAATGATTTTTTGGTAGGCTGTCGAACTTCAGTAATTCGGGTTTTTTTACCCAATTCTCGTAGAAGTCTTTGACTTGTTCATGTCCACGAGAAGCAACCATTTTATTAATCTGCCAAGCAGTCCAACCTAATCCTTCATTACGTATTTTCCCCGTCGAAAGAGCAACCACCCCTGGAAAACTGCGTTTCCAAAGTATTCTTCCGGGAGAGGTGGATTCAATCTCTGTTGAATGCCGAAGGGAATCTCAAAAGTTGTTTCTTTATCTACATCAACACGACATGAGGAGATAATGGATCGCCATAGATGAGCTTGGAGGGAAGAAATATTACTTGTATTCATTTCAAGGTTGGCTTTTGCTTTGAGTTTCCCAATGTTCTCTTTAGTGAAATTGAAAACTCTTTCTTCCACGGAGGAAACATCCAGAAGGTAATTAAGAATGAGCCTTTCATCATCTATGGCGATGCTCCTCGGACACTCAGTATCAAAATGAAGCTTTCATTTGAGATTGGGTGGTTTTGATAGGCAGTTGAATCCACGAGAGAGCTCGGACCAAGAGTTGAAGAAATGCCAGAATGACGTCCCATATTAGAAATTGAAATCAGCAATAAACGAGTTTAGCACCAGCAGAAAATGAACCAGCAGGAAGAACGAAAACAGAAATTAAATGAAAGCTACTATGAACTAAAACTAGAAAATAGAAACTGAAAATAAAATGGATAAAACCTGCTGGGATGACAGGGAAGAAGATGAAAATTACATTCATTCAACTTAAGAAATTACATTGCATATTAATCTATTTATAGAGAAAAACTAACAACCTAACTACATAACAAATAGAAGGATCTAGAACCAAACAACTAACAAACTAACTGAAGAATGATCTTGAATAAGAGGCTGAATTGGAAGCTGAACGTGAGAAGGTGTGCTGATCTGCTGCTACTGATCTTCTGAATATGCTATTCCAACACTCCTCCCTCAAGATGACACATCTTGAACTTGGAGAAAAGAATGGCAGAGATGCAGGTAATTGGTGGAAGATTACAGTAACTTCAGATTCGAGTTCAAAGATTTGCAAATGCAGTCGACCTTCTTTCTCGGTCATTACATTGAACACCTGGTATGATATTCCCAGTGTTGAAGCTGGGCACACTTGCACGGAAAACGCTTTGCAAACCCATTGGCAAACACATCAAGACAAAGGCGTATTTATGGTCATGCAACGGATGTTGCAATTCGTCCTCTAAATGAAGAAAAGGTTGTTCAAGCTGCTGCAGACCTTTTAGGTGAACTCTTTGTGTTTTCGGTTGCAGGAGTTGCTGTTATTTGTGAGGTGCAAAATCGTTCCAGAGCAGAAAACCAGGAAGAAAGAAATAAAGGCCCAGATGATGAACAGACGAACAGTCACCATCATGCCAAAGTGAATGGCTGCTAGAGACCTATAGAATATTCCAATAGTGTTCAACATGAAACCAATTCCAACGCACAGAAAAGGAAAAGTGTAGCTGTGAAAATCATTGATTTGATCCTTTTTTTTGATATCAAATGTAAAATACCACCTGGTCTCATAGCTTCCGAATTTCTCAAGGAGCTTAGACAAATTTCTCACAATCTATGAGGTACAAATGATCCTAAGCAAGGATGAGATATTCAAGAACATCATGTTCTTCAAAACAAGCAACAGATACTGGGCTTTGCTGGGCAGCCAGAACTTCAACAAATCGGGAAGAACTGGAATCTGAAACAGCTTTTGAGATTGGATTCGATAGAACCACAAAAGAGCTCCAATTTGGAGAAAACATCATCATCATAGATGAGTAAAGAAAAACTGATTTGAAATCAGAGAAAAATATGCAAGAAGCTGTAACGCCCCGACCCGCATGGATCGAAATATCACTAGATTAACTATACTTTAGCCGTTGACTTAATAGAATTAACCTTACCCTTAGCGGAAAGCTTAAATATTTAATTTATGAAATTTAAATCAACATAATTTGTTAAAAGAAAATGATTCAATACTATAAATAAAACAATTCAAAAATGTCTTTAGAATATCTTCCGTGCATGCATCCACAATTGACGTCAAATTTTAGGCAAAACTTTAAAAATAATGTTGCTGTTTTTTTTTCATCTCATATGAGTAGTGACAAAATAAATTCGTTTGCATAACTATCGACCTCGAAACTTCGTGAACCTTTAATACAAGGTAGAAAACTCTTTATAATATGACATATCAAAAAATTGGGCTCCGTCGGCAACAGATAGGGCATTAAAATATTTTTCGAAACC